CTTCTTCCAGCCTCACATCAGCACTTGATCAGTGGTCTTTTGGGTATTGGGCCTTCTCAGAACCTCGGCCAGAGCAACGGTCACCCTGCCACAGTCAACGCTGAGATGATTCCTCGAAAAATCTGGGTCAAACGGCCAGGGGGCTCGGCCACCTTGGTACCGACTATGGAAGATTCGCTTGTCGACGAGCTGCGCGATCAAGTTATCATGAAGTACGCCAACTCTTTGGGGAGAACATTTGATTCACCTGATATCATGATCCGCATTTCTCCTCGAGAAGGTTCCAACCGACAGTCTATGCCCGAGCGGATACTGAGTCCCGAGGAACCGTTAGGTGTGGTCATTGACACTTACTTTCCCGGTGGTCAGACGGTGGACGAAGCGTTGGTCATAGATATCCCTCAACGGCGGACGCCGAAGCCGTCCCCCCGCCACCCTGTATATTATCACCATTCGGAACCGGGCGAGCATGGCGAGTACTTTCCGCTCATGCCTGCGAACCCAAATGCCCCGACGCCCCCCACTCATGCGTCAGCCTCAACTACGAGCGTGAATGCCCATACGGCCCCCTCAATTTCTATTCTCACCACGGGTATGGCGCCTCCGCTACCCTCACCAGGCAATAGAGCAAACCGACTTTCCCGCCGGCCACCACTCACTCGACATACTACCAACTCACCCACAATGCTTGGTACAGCGCCAAATCCAAAAGGTATGCGAGGACTCCCACTGTTATTCCTTGGACCGTTAAGATCTCATTCCTTACTGACTAGATGTAGACTCTAGTATGGCCTCATGTCCTCAACCTCCCGCAGCAGCGCCCCAGGTCCCTACGCCGCCTGGTCCTCCTCCTGAATCGCCTCAGACCAAAACGCACACGCCGCCAGCGCGTGTTGCGTCGCCGCGGCCGCGGCCCACAAAACCGAAGAAGGGCGGCAACGGCCAATCGCCAAACGCTGCCTTTGGTGGCCTTATTGAAGGCACGGTACCTCCCATCAACGTCCTCATTGTCGAAGACAATATCATCAACCAGAAGCTCCTGGAAGCCTTTATGAAGCGCCTCAGCGTCCGCTGGAAGTGCGCTGCGAACGGTGAGGAGGCGGTGAGGAAATGGCGCCAGGGTGGGTTTCACTTGGTCCTAATGGATATCCAACTCCCCGTCATGAACGGGTTAGATGCGACCAAGGAGATCCGGAGACTTGAGCGCCTAAACGGGATCGGTGTCTTCACCAAGACGGCCTCGGGACGATCGAGTGCCAGTTCTCTGTCGCCGGAAGTGAACCAAGCATCATCGGAGGTTTCGCTGTCTGAGGAGGACACACTTCATGACTTGTCTCTGTTCAAGAGTCCCGTTATCATTGTCGCCCTGACCGCCAGTAGTTTGCAGAGCGATCGGCATGAGGCTCTGGCTGCCGGCTGCAATGACTTTCTGACCAAGGTATTTCATCTTGACGCTTCGTGCATCCCGTTCCGGGTGGATGGCTGACTTTCTCCCCATTTTTAGCCCGTTGGATTTCCTTGGTTGGAGCAGAAGGTGACAGAATGGGGCTGCATGCAAGCTCTGATTGACTTCGAAGGCTGGCGGAAATGGCGAGGATTTGCCGACGAACCCCAGTCATCTTCTCCCACCGATGGAGGTCTCACCAGCCCTCTGCAGACGGGCGCTAATGGGGTGTCCAGTAGAACCTCGACCTCCTCGTCATTGGGAGCAGTCAACGCGACCGCCCGGGAGCTCGACGCAGGCCCTGGTGCGGGCAAACGCAAGTCCACCGTTCCCGAATTGACCAAGCCCGTGGATATCCTTCCTGAGGAGCCCCCCGGAAGTGGTAGTGGCGAGGGCAACGAGACTCTGGATTCACCAGCCAGTCCTCCCACCTCCATGCATGTGGGTGACCCCACTGAACCTTCTGGTGACGAGGAGCAGCAAACTCTGGATGCTACGTAGTCCGTTGCACGCTCTGCAACTCAGGCCTCAATGTCTCTCTTTCATGTCGTTATACTCGCATGATTTGTACGAGGAGAGTTCCTTTGTTTGATATTACACATTGTTCCCTCCCTCCAGTCTCTTACACGTCCCGCTTTTCTGTATCTTCCATTGGATACCCAGCATAGCCATTACTCCTTGAGTCCTTCTACCATACGTGATGCCCGTATCTTATTGATTCGTCCATTTCCAGTGTTTACCACAAACATCTCCTTGGTTGAGCGGCATGAATCCATTGTATATACTATCACTGCTTTAGCGACATGCTCTCACATACGAAAGGAGATGTCTTGTTCTGCGTTTGTTGTTTTGTGAATCCATGCATCACCGCATTGTTTCCCCCATTCTCTGTTGTAGTTAGCCTAGGGCCTACCGGCATTGACACGCTGACACCTGCAATTGCTCTAATACCATTGTCTAATGAGACTAGCTGTATACGCTTCTACCTAGTACTGCACTTGATCATTCAGCCGTAACCAAAGTAGTTGAGGTCGACGTTTGCGATGCCGATTGACTCGAAAGTACGCCTAGTTACCCTTGGGAGTTGAAGTCGGAGCTCATGGTTGGTATTGATATTGTGAAAACATGGCAGAATATAAGTACAATGCTAATGCTCGACAAACCCTTCACGAGATATTTGTACAGTACATCATTTCCCTGACCGAGAGCAGCTCATGGATGCAGAAGTAGAATGAGACCTCCCCTCATCAAATATGAGTTAACAGTGTCAGAAAGAGTGGGCTTAGACCTCCACGCGAGTAGGGATCTTGATCTGTCCCTTCTTACGGTCGTACGTAGGCACACCGTATCTCCGACCGGGCGCCCGGGCACCGCGACCATCCGTGCCCGTCGTCTCGCGACTGACAACGACATCCTTGATGCGGAACTCAAACCGCGAGGACTCAGGCTGCACGCGGACAAGCCGCTGCTCGGCGCGCTCCTTGGCGAGTCTCTTGCGTTCCTGCTCGATCGCCTCCTCCTGCTGGAGTCGCTCGCGGTAGAGCTTCATGTTCTCGCGGAACTCGTTGGGGTTCGACTTCATCTGGCGCTCGTGGGAAACCAGGTGCGGGTGCGGGATGCGCACGTCCGCGGGCTGGAGGACCTGCTGTTCGTCGTCGCCCTTACCGACGCGCTCGATGTGGGCTGGGTCATGCGTGATCTTGCTGATGGCCTCGTCGGGGTGGGCCACGTCGCGCTCGACTTCTCTGTGTGGCAGGGCGGGCGCGGCGGAGAACACGCGACCGGCGTCAACACGGGTGAATTGCCGGGACTCGGAGACGGGGTAGAAGATCTGGGGATCTGTGAGGCGGTGGACGGGGAGATCGTTGATGGACTCGTGGGGTCGAGCGTCCAGGTCATTGCGGAGGGGTGTGGTTGGGACCATCTCGTGGACTGCACGAGCGTATGGCAATGCTAGCGACTTCCCCTAAAATTTCAAGCATCGTGTTAGAGCAATCCAAGGCTGCAGAGACGCGAAAATTTCGACAGAAAACGAGGCAATGGCACAAATCAGATATGGGAGTTGTAAGCATTCCCAAGCAGGTTATGCTTGGGGTCTTAAAGACTAATCGATTTTTTGGTTCTCATCATTGTACCATGCCATCGCACCAGGGAAATAGCCGACAGAGCCGGAACGGAGCAGAAAGAAAATGCAAGCATGCATACCTGTTGTTTCCATCGCTTCTCTAATTCTACTAACCGAACAACGGCAGCTACTCGCCGCATATCCACCCCAAGGTCAACACTGACGGCACGCACACTCTGCTTTCTGTCCACAACCCGCCGGTGGATCTCATTGCGCAACTCCTCGCTGAGTATGGGCTCACTGACGAAATTAGGGTTCAGAGGAAAGGGCCGATTGCCGGCATTGCCCTTGAGACGAGTAATGTAATTCGTCCGCCCTGGCGTGTGTTGTTTCAGTTGAGCACCTTCGCCGTTGATCCACGCGAACATCTCATTCCGCCGTCTGGTCTGAGCGGCGGGCAAGGAGGAAAAGAAACGAGGGGAGTAAGTTTGTGAGAGCTTAAAGATACATGTGGAAGAGGTTGAAGAGGTCGAGGAAGTAGAGGAGGAGAGGTAAGGGAGGAGAGAGCCCGAGACCACCTGGTTTTGTATTCGGGGAGGCATTTTCAATCAGGTCTCAAGTAGAGGGAAGTATTGTTGCTCTGGGACTAAGCCAGAGATCACGCAGGCATGGGCTTATACAGCTTGCACACGACCAATTGAGCGTCTCTAGTATTAAGAATGTCAGCCGCGAGGTGGTGGTGAAGTACAGCACTGGTATTTGTGATGGTGGAAGAAGGACAGCCGGGCATCTCGAAAGAAACTTTTCGGGTCTTCACGATGTGGTCCGTGTCCAGTCACGTGATACATCCAACATTGTGCCATCCTTGGGACTTGCATAGGTGATAATAACTATTATTCTCGGTTATGATAGTCAGATGCATCATATATGATGTCGTCTCATGATGTATTCTGGCTTAATTCTATCATCATGACCTCTTGCTCATCGATACTTATACCTCTCTAGAGCTCTAAGTAAATACACATGTATTTGGCTGACTCCATAAGTTCTGTTCACTCACAGGATCTACTCGATCTATGTACAGAGGTACCGCGCCTCTACTATGGACAAGTAGCGTTCATTGACCACCGATAAATGCTCTGTTGATAGTTGTGACTCCCTAGACAAGCTTTAAATGACTACTGTAGTGTATCTATCAAACAATGAATCATGCTGAACTAACGCTGTGATAGTGAAGGCTTACCCCTGAATGAATAATAATTCTAGTATCTTCTTGTCACATGTACCTGGCTTTCACCGCCCACATGATATGATGCATGCTGTTCTCCGCACCTGCTGCTGTTGTTGGTTACCATGAACTGAGTGTCCACTGACAGGAGGACTATTGATCCTACCATCTCCTTACCTCGGAAGAGAACTTTCTCCTCAAATTCTTTCCTATCTTGATTGTTGTCTTCTTTCTACAAAGCTCTGCAGTAGCAGCCTTTATGTATGCCTGACTTCAAGATCTCCGCTTCTTTGGAGGGCCACGGCGATGATGTAAGAACGTCCCCGACAATGACTCCTGCCACTCTGGTCACCGCAAAGGGCGATCCCCATGTTTTTCAGCTGCTGACTCTTGCCTTGATTCTCAATTTCAGGTTCGCGCCGTGGCCTATCCGAATCCAAATGTAGTAATTTCGGCTTCTCGAGATGCGACCGTTCGGCTGTGGAAGCTGGTATCTACCCCGCCGCCTGTTTATGATTCCACCATATCCTCCCACGGCTCGGCCTTCATCAACGCTGTAGCATACTACCCACCAACATCCGAATTTCCTGAGGGTCTCGTACTCTCTGGTGGCCAGGATACGATAATAGAAGCAAGACAACCCGGAAAAACTCCAGACGACAATGCTGACGCAATGCTCCTGGGCCATGGTCACAACGTCTGTGCATTGGACGTGTGCCCAGAGGGAGGCTGGGTGGTAAGCGGCAGTTGGGACTCGACCGCGAGGCTGTGGAGAGTCGGTAAATGGGAATGTGATGTGGTCATGGAGGGTCACCAAGGCAGTGTCTGGGCTGTTCTGGCCTATGATAAAGACACTGTCATTACCGGTGCGTCTATCGCTTCCAGATAAAGATATAGCGTGCTCATACTTTGACCAGGCTGTGCCGACAAGACTATACGGATCTTCAATACAGCAGGGGACCTTGTCAAGAGCATCAAAGATTCTCGTGATGTCGTTAGAGCTCTGTGTAAGCTTCCTGCTTCACATCCCTCAGGCGCACATTTTGCTTCTGCAAGCAATGACGGAGTCATTCGACTGTTCACATTACAGGGGCAGCTGGTTGCTGAGCTTCTTGGTCACGAGAGCTTCATATATTCTTTGGATGTCTTGCCGACAGGCGAGCTGGTCAGTTCCGGAGAAGATCGAACCGTAAGGGTATGGAATGGCACACAGTGTGTGCAGACAATTACCCATCCCGCAATCTCAGTGTGGGGCGTTGCTGCCTGTAGAGAGAATGGCGATATTGTTACGGGTGCCAGTGACCGTGTCACACGGATCTTCAGCCGAAATGAAGAGCGAGTGGCAAGCCCGGAGGTGGTTCATCAGTTTGATAAAGCCGTCAAGGAATCCGCAATACCTGAACAGCAAGTCGGCAAGATCAACAAAGAGAAGCTTCCAGGTCCTGAATTTCTCAAACAGAAGTCCGGTACGAAGGAAGGTCAGGTGCAAATGATTCGCGGAGCAGACGGCAGCGTTACAGCCCACACGTGGTCCGCTGCTTCGCAAGAATGGATTGCTGTCGGTACGGTGGTTGATTCTGCTGCCAGCAGTGGGAGGAAGATCGAATATATGGGACAAGATTACGACTATGTCTTCGACGTGGATGTCGAGGATGGGAAGCCTCCCCTCAAGCTTCCATACAATATTTCGCAGAACCCATACGAAGCCGCCACGAAATTTATCCAAGATAACGAGCTGCCTATGAGCTACCTAGACCAAGTCGCGCAGTTCATTGTCCAGAACACACAGGGCGCAACCCTTGGACAACCTGTTCAAGAACCTGCGCCCACCGGCGCTGATCCCTGGGGCCAGGAGAGGCGTTATCGCCCTGGAGATGCCACAGCGACAGCGGCAGACCCTACGCCTACTTTACCTGAATCACGGCCTAAAGTCCTTCCGCAGAAGACATATCTCTCCATCAAGACAGCTAATCTTAAAATCATTGCCAAGAAACTACGGGAATTAAATGACCACCTCGCATCCTCGGGGTCAAAAGACTTATCCCTCAGTCCTCCTGAGTTGGAGACTGTCGTTTCGCTGTGCAGTCAGCTGGAGTCTTCCGTTGCCCTGAAATCGTCGCCCGTGGTGGACGCTGGGCTGAGGTCATTGTTTAGAGCTGCAACCACGTGGCCTGCCACCAGCAGACTGCCTGGCTTGGATCTGCTCCGCTTGCTCGCTGCTGCAACACCTCTGGTTGCCACTGCAGACTACAGTGGAAAAGATCTCGTTTCTGGGATCCAGGCGAGCGGTATATTTGATCCACCGTTGAATGTAAACAATGCGATGTTGTCTATCCGAATGCTGGCGAACCTTTTCGAGACCGACGCCGGTCGTCAATTGGCTGTGAATAGGTTCGACCAGATTGTGGCGGTCGTCAATTCTGCGTTGAGTAACTGCGGAGCAGCACCGAACCGCAATCTCACCATAGCGGTGGCCACGCTTTACATCAACTTCTCGGTTTACTTCACCTCTGGAGGGAGAGAATTGGCTCCAGAATCATCTGAGCGGGGTCTGGTGCTCGCTGGGGAACTGGCCAAGCTAATTGCAAGCGAGAAGGATTCAGAAGCAGTATATCGTGCCCTTGTCGCCCTGGGAACTCTTATCAAGGCGCTAGGCGAGGAAGTGAAGAGTGCTGCGAGGGAGATTTATGATGTGAAGGACATCCTGGAGAAGGTGTCAAGCTCGGGCAGTGGAAAAGAGCCTCGGGTCAAGGGAGTCGTTAGCGAGATTAGAGAGGCAATGTCGTAGATAGTAGATTATGACAAACCACAGCACGTTTTGAAGGCTCTGCGGGGCGACATCGCGATTGGAAGCATTTTGTCTTGCGACATCAGGACAGAGGACTGATTATTTATGAGGCTTTGTAAATGCTACGCCAGCTCGAATCGACTGATAGACTTTTTGAATGGCATTCAATAAAGAGCGCGCATTTATATCATGCAAATTTCCATACACATTGTATATAAGATCGTGCTCAATGAAGACACCGACGTAGGGTTGATGGCCAGGGAGAAACCGTATCCTCATTTCAATCCATAAGCAGCGCAGCGCAGCCATTATAACCGCCCTTCGGCATCAACACCAACTTCCACGATCTGGTCGATGCCGGGATAATCAGGACAATCCAATGCGTACTTCTCAACGATACTCTTAGTCAAAAAACGACCACCGACAAAGTGCCTGCCGCGGTAATATTTCACGCATGGCTTTGGGGCCGTGAGACTGATCAGCGCCTCGGGCATAAATTTGGATCCCGGACCCTCCTTGGGTGGACCACTCTGAATGTCCCAAGAACTGGGCGCATCGACGCTCAGCACAGGGACGGACGACGACTCGATCTGGGAGATGATGGATGGGAACGGGTCGCGGAGGGGACCCCCGAAGGAGAATCCGAAGATGGCGTCGACGAGGAAGTCAGCGGACTTGAGAGCCTCAGTGAAGTCTGGAACGAAAGGGACGGATAGGCTGTGTAGCTGGGTTTTGAGGCGCTGTTGATTGCCAGATGATTAGTCTTGGTCTGTTGGGAGTGGTTCCGGGGTGGGCTTGCCTGGTAGAGCTCATTCTTCCCTTCTTTGGGATAGTAGACTGAGGGTGTATAGCCGTACTGAGCCAGATGGCGCGCGGCTACTAGGCCGTCGCCGCCTTTTGAAGCGAGTCAGCGTCTGCCGTCGAGCTCTTGGTTGTGGACAGGATGGAAGCGTACCGTTGTTTCCTGGGCCACAGACGACGAGGACATTCTTGCCGGCGCTGGGGGGATGAAGACAGTAGACTATCGCAGGTGTGTTAGCCTTTGGTTATTTTTATTTTGGTTGTAATGCTCCATGGGGTGAACACATGCCTGCCTGCGAAACGGACAGCCCCGCGAGTTCCATCAGTTGGTCCAAGGACCATCCACCCATCTCCATCAAGTCCTTATCGAGGGAGGCAGCATCTTTGGCTGAGATAGCCTGGTATATAAGATGAGCTAGGGAGCATAAGTTGGAGTCAAATGCTACCTACCTTCAACGACATCCTGGCGGTCCTACTGTACTTTCGAACTGCTATGGGGAGATATCGTTTTGTGAAAACAGAGCGGAACATACAATGCGAGAGATTAAGCCAATTTGTAAACAGTTATGATAGCTAGAAGCTCAGATTAGAAGAGAGGAGGTACAAGAGGGAATTATTATATCTATCTATGGCGTGGTATAGTAAGATAGACATACCACCGCTAGAGAAGTACACTGTCATATACTCCATAGAGAGAAACAAGTGGCATGCCGGTTAGTCGCATTGCATCATCGCGATGTTTTGTTTCTCCACCACTCGCACTAGTCCTCTCTCAGTAAGTCCCGGAATAATACATCCTCCGTAGATCAATCTGAACTTCCGCGGGAGTGCATCAAATAAAGTGCAGTGCTTGATTCAGCGTTGCTTGCCGGTTACGAAGGTCAACGATTCAAAATAGTAAAAATGGTCGTCAGAATCCGTCTCTCTCGCTTCGGCAACAAGCACCAGCCATTTTACAACATCGTTGTTGCACAGGCTCGGTATGTCTCTTTGTGGGCTTTTTTTCTTTGAACTGTTCCGCTGCCTGTCATCGACATCTAGAATGAGATTGATGGACAATTGCCCACCCAGTGACTGTTAAGAAAAGTGCTAACTATCCGTTCTAACTGAAGGTCGGCTCGAGATTCGAAACCCCTTGAAGTCATTGGCACCTACAATCCTGTCCCGCAGCGGCCTACGAATCTATCCGAAGAGGAAGCTCGGCGCGCAAAGCCATTCAAAGAGGTCTCTCTTGATCGCTCACGGGCAAAGTACTGGCTTGGTGTTGGCGCACAGCCCAGCGAGGGTGTATGGCGGCTATTGAACTTGGTACGTGGTTGGCAAGCTTAAGAACATCGGAGCTCTTTGCTGACTGGGACAACGATGTTAGGCTGGTCTTGTTCAACCCAAGTCGAACGCTCAAAAAGAATGAGCAGACTCTTCGTGTTTTATTAGGCTTGAGAGCTCAATCAGTTGAGGCGGCTCTGTTTAGATCGAGAATACTTCGATGCGTCTGGTTGGGATAGCGATTTACTCTCTTTCTGGCATTCAAAACGGCGTTTACGAGAATTGTCATTTTCTGGAATATACTTGGGTTGAAACCATTCTTTGTACATTATGCGGATTGAGACGTGGCTTCGGTTAATATGCGACGAATAAAACGATCGGTTGATGCAATGTTTGGGGTTAGGGTACCTTCAATGGTGCCTGAGGTTTGAAATACTCCCGCTAGACGGTGATCTCAGCCACGAGGCCTAGGTAGTCTGTGAGTGATCTCGCTGTCACTGTCAGAATGTCAAAATGTCAAAATGGGCCTTTCCACGCCCATTACGCTTCCGTCCCCAGGGCTGCCCCTCTCAGACACAAACCTCTTCCTGAAAGAGGTTCACATTTTCATGCCATTCTTTGTTGACACTGCTGAATGGTCCGTAGAAACCTAGAGGGCAGTTGAGAATGAGATGTCAACATTGCCCTCATTTCTCGACGCGACTAAGAAAAGCCAAGCACTCGACGCCAAGGAAGTCGTACGTCAACTGAGTGGTGGCCTGAACATTCAAGAGGCTGACAAGAATGTGTCACGCTTTGAATTGAGGGGCCGAACGCTCTGTCGGCAGGCCAGAGGCCGGTGGTTGTTGTTATTGTTGTCATCGATGACAGGTATATCCCTGTCGGTGAAGCTTTTGATAGAACATCGAAGTATAATTAAATAATCGAAAGTCTTGAGCCAATGCGTTCAAGCATCCAGATTGCACGCGAGCCAGGGAACACTGTCAAATTCCCCCAGGAATTCCCCTTCTCCTCACAGCCAATCCCTACGAGGTAGATAGCCACACTCCTAGAGAGACGAGGACACGCCGTGTAAGTAGCGACAAAGGGCCAATATGATGATTGATGGTTGCGAAGGACTAGAGTGGATGATCAACATCAGAGTTTGGGCTTTCCATGAGTCCAGGGCAAGCCACATTCGCCATGAATTCCTTTGTGGACAAAACCATCAAGAGCCCAGCGGGGTCCAGGGGTAATGCTTGGAGTAGACATCTACATCTGCGGAGTCATAGTTGATAAGAGTTCATGACGAGTCTATGCTGTCAGTTGTTTCGTGTCTGCTAGTTCATTATCATGCGCATGATATGAGATTTCTGAGCTCCGACCCTATTTGGGAGGCGGGAGACGACGGGATAGAGACCATTCCACGGATGCCTGACCGAGGATATCCAGAGTCCCTTAAAAGACGACAACAGCTTTCCTACCTTGGTAAGGTGATCATGTGTAGAGCGATCAGGTTATGAAATCATTCCGTCACTGTCCGTCAGAGTTCATGCGAGTAATAACAAACTCTGATAGATACCGTGGGGTGTTCCTATAGAGATGGCTTGGATACAACCAGAGGCGAGTGTTCTTGTCCTTCAAATGACACGTTTCAGGTACTTCGTCATTGATTTTGGACAAGGAGGGAGAGGGACGGTACAGAGTAGTTACCTTCTGTCAACAAGATGAAGCAACAGGCAGAGATGATAAATTGATAATTCAAGAGGTTCCACCTTTATGCACGACCTGTGCAACTAACGGGACACGCACTGCCCCTGCTGGCCTGCCCTGGACTAGGACGGACTCTAAGTAAGCCTATCTTACGGGGTAGATACTACTAGTACCTACGGATAGTTGTACGCATCCGGACCGTTCGCTGTGGATTAGCTAAGACACCCAACCATTCTCGCTGTTATCGGTATCAAGACGAAGTTGCATTATGAATATCCTCTCTGTCATTTTTCTGCTATTCGTACTATCGTACTACCGTACTCGTCAGTCAGTCTAAGGCTCTCAGGCTCAAACTGACGACCGACGCTCATGGGCCCTGGATAGCGCGTCTTGTCAATTTAACTTGCTGGGTCGCGCTTCGACTAAGTTGGGTCTAGCCGAGTCACTTAACCCCCATCCGCGGTTCCTGACTGGCTCACGCAGTCTGGATGAATTATGGATGCAATCAGAGAACCCCTCAATGTCATTCGTTCTTTTCATCATCAGACCCGATCCACCCTCATTCTGGGTACGGAGTAGCCTCGATACGGAGTACTGACTCAGGGTGTAAGGTAGGGTAGTTATTCGAGCTTCGACTCTCTTAGTCTCTTTGACTCCTAGGACGGAACCAGGCTCGATCCGTGGGCCACACGATGCACCGCCTACTGAGACTGAGCGACAGTAGGTATCTTTTCAACGAATCTCGCAACGAAGTCTATACAGAAGGAAAGGTGAATCCGCCTAAAAGCACCGGAGCTACTGTAGGTACCAGAAGTCTAGAGGGATTCATGCGCAGTGCAAAGTAGACTGCTATTGGTAGTACGCTATAGTTGTCTCTCAGCACCAGTTCCGGACTTCAACAACCTTAAGACACTGTAGGTACTCGTAATCGTTCATCCCAATTAATGTGATAATTCCATTATTATTTATCCTTCAAGGCGCTCTTTTTCTTTTCTTTTTCCTTTTGTCTGTTTTCGCACATTGAGATTAATTTTTATCACCACAACCATCATCATCATCTTCTTCTTCTTCTTCTTCTTCTGCTGTCATTCGCGTGTCCCTTGGATCATTCTTCGGTCGCCATTCATCTTATCTGGGTCAGTACCAGCCGGTTAGACTAGACTATGCCATAGGTAATCATCCTCCTCCGCCTCCCTCCTTTTACACAACTTCCACTCCCCCCCCCCCCAAAAAGTTCCAAA